TAATTGATATTTCCATGGAAATGATAAACTAAAAATAAGAAAATCGGTAAAGCGTGAATTTTGTGCGAACCAGATCTGTTATAGAAAATCTGATGCCAATTTCTGAAATTACAATGTATGGCAATGTGAATATGCAAGAATAAAAAAATTCTGTATGTTTGATTTCAAATAAATCGTGAAAACATTGCAAACCATGCTTTTTGTTTAATGAAATAATATGGACTAAAGGAAGGACACTATTTTAATGCAATTGCTCCAAAAGACACCAAAATGTGTCTTGAAGTTTTGTTTTGAAGCCATGAAAGTTTTGTTGGTTTGTGTTTTCTTGATCTTGAGATCAAGACTTTTTCTCATCATCATCAACTTTTTCTCAACTTTCATAATAAATTTAGAACATTGGAGCAATTTCATCAGAATTGTGTCCTTCCTTCAGCCCATTTAATTTCATTAAACAAAAAGCGTGGTTTGAAATGTTTTTGCAATATATTCGAAATCAATATATTTGGTTTATTGTTTCCCTGGAAATATCAATTACCTTAAGAAACACATTCAACCAAACTTCAATCTTTTTCCAAAAACTGGTGTAATTTCCACATCAATCAGATAAGGGAAGTTTGGTAAAATGCCAATTGAAAATGCTGGGTATGGTCCAGAAAAAAGTGTATCGAGCCACCTTAAATACTCTAAGATTTGGTGAAACAGCCCCTGCATAATTATGAGCAGTTGTCATCCACCCATTCCATTGGGAAATGACTGCCTAAAAATGCCTTACTGAATACATTTGCCTCCCTAAAACTTTTCTGTTCATTAACATTTATGCAGCAGTCGTTGCAGCGCTTCCAAGTGTCTTAGACACTTACATGTACAAGTAGTGCTTGGTGCAGGCATAATATGTTTCTTATGGTATACATACTATTTAGATTAAGTTAGTGACCTTAAATTCCCTGTCTTTTCCTCCATCCTCACCAGCCAACTTGACACTAAGTTCAGCCTATGCAACGGTCAGAAAAAATCAAACTTCAGTTAACAAGCACTGAGCACAAATCTTCTGGTAAACATAAGGGTGCTACAATTTATTTTTCAATTATAAAACATAGTTCTATTAGTCCAGTACATGTGCTCAGGACAAGCTTTCCTTGCAAAGTAATGCAGCCTTCCTGCAGAAGGTTTTCATTTAACTAGTGACATTTATGGGGGTGGGGGTGGGGGCGGGACATAACCCTTAATAATGGGAGGTACACGTTAGCAGAGGTGCTTCAGTATGCAAGGTACCTCTTTCTGCAGGGTGCTCCTTTATCTGACATGCAATGCCATGGAAAGTAACCTTCTATGGGAGGTCTCCCTTTATGGAAGGTGACCTTTTGCCCAGAAATGTCTCTTTATGAGATTAGTACCCCTTAATGGACAGTGCCCCTTTATAGAAGGTTCCCCTATTTGGGAGGTGCCTCTTAATGGGAAGTTCCCCTTAATGGGAAGTGCATTGATGGGGGGTACCCCTTTATTGGAGTTGCTCCTTTCTGGGAGGTGCCCCCTTATGGGTGGTACCCCTTTATGGGAAGTGCCACTTTATGGGAGGTGCCCCATTATGGGAGGTGGCCCTTTCTGGGAATACCCCTTATGGGTGGAACCCCTTTATGGGAAGTGCCCCATAATGGAAGGTACCCCTTTATGGGAGGTTCCTCTCTTTGGGAAACACCCTTTATGAGAATTCATGAGAGATGCACCTTTATTGGGGATGCCTTAATGGAATGTGTCCCTTTATGGGAGGTGCCCTTTTATGGGAAGTGCTCCCTCCTGGGAACTGAGTTGCCTCATCATAGGAGGTAATACTTTGTGAATGATGACTCTTCATGGGAGTTAGTTCTTAACTGTAATAGGATTTGTCTCTCTAATATACACATGTACATGCAATATCTCCCAGCCCCTAATAGTTCAGGAGTTTTACACAGCAGAAAGACTATTCAGCTTAATAAACTCACTGGAGGAAGTTTGATTCTGCTATACAAATTCTTCTCGCCATCAAAAGCAGGGTGGTGACCTTGGAATGTTGTATCTTTGTACCTCCTTATGATTTCATTCACAACATCTCTTTTCACTGATCGGGGACACTTGTTTGGGGTAATCTCCACATCATAGTGGTAGAGATCTGATAGTTGTGGTGAAATATTGAGGCAGAAGAAGTTTGCCCTTAACCTTATAGGGCGACCTACAGTACCATAGCCTGGTCTCTTAGGGGGATGTGGTCCACCATTTCCTTGTGTTTGACGACCTATGTGTTGGAGAAGAAGAAACTTTAGACAGTAATTAACAAATTAATTAAAAATAACTTGAGACAAGGTACTTTCAAGCTCCAATTTACTGAAAATCAGATTTGGTGTGTGTGTGTGCTTTTTTTAAGTACCATGTTCTTGAAGTTATTTAAATTAAT